AGACACATACATAAATACATGCTTCTTTTGTCTCCCAGCTGTTTATTTTTACACAAAAGCGTTACGAACCTTAACAGTATGAAAAGAGAACGAAGGGAATTTAAATATAAAAGTTGAGAGAACTTGTCCAGACTGTTGGAGATTACTGCTGTCATTTTTTCCCCTCTTCAGTTTCCTCCAGGGTTTCCTTTCCTTCTCTTTTTCTCTGTCCGCATATTCAGTTTTACCGCCGCCCGCCCTCAATGAGGTGATACTGTTTCAAATTGTTAGCGAAGAAAAAGAGCACATGTCTAGATGTGGGCACGCAAAAGGTTATGACTTATGATCTCGGTTCACTTTTTCGACAACAATATCCCGCATATTACACATGCGGAGACTTGTGCGCAGACACATACGCTTACACAACTCCTTCATCAGTTGCAGTATTCATATCCAATCCCTGACCGCGTTTCACATTTTTACATTTTATAAGATTTCTGTTTCCACATAAAACTGGAGCGTGTATCTATAGTAGGCTGCCGATTAGGTGCCACACACACACACACACACACACACACACACACTTAAAAGTCCTGTCTTTCTTCCAAACCCCTTTCCGAAGGTGATTGGTTACTCCTGGCAGTGCAGATTTTAGCGTGACTGGGATGCAGTCAACTACATGCAGGAATTCAGCCCTTGATGCTCTCAAACCTGCCCCGTCATCCTCCGACTAAAGAATGCTTTTGAAAAGAAAGAGAGAGGAGAATTAGTTGGCACGGCGAGAGGAGAGCTAGAAAATATTTCATGATTTGGGATTTTATTCAAAGCCTTTCGGGAATACCTGATTTGTCTTTGGATGCCAGGGTAATTTCAAGGCAGGCCTTAAAGGTAAAGGCTGGCATCTTGTTTTTTGGGGGGGTTTTTCCAGCCCCTTCACTCTCACCCCTCCTCATCAGCTTACACAACTACAAACACCTGTCTGAACTCTATGTAAGAAGTAATACTTATTTGAATTCTTACTTAGTCTTTCTTTCTTTTCACTATTTGTGTACTTGTCCTATTGCTTTCTTGATCCCACCCTCATGTTGTTATTGGTATCATGGATATATTTTGTATTGTATCATCGTATCCGTTAGCTTTACGTGAAGGAATCATGATTCATACAGTTGATCTATAGGTCCTCACAATGTTTTTTTCACACTTTGTGTTCTTTGTACTTAAAAAGGTTTCTCTCCTGGTATGATGACAGCTTCTATTCTAAAGGAGATGGAAAAGTTTTTTGTTTTATTTTTTTAAAAAAAAAAGCCTGTTTGAGAAACTGCTTAAGAGACTCATTGAAACCCAGAGCAGCAGTCATTTTCCACCAGAGAACAGAAAAGGGAGCGAGAGAGGCTATTCACTGCATATTATGCATTCAACAGTCTTTAAGAACTCGTATTGAAAAATTGTATATCGCTTTAGCGCCAAGGACGAATCAGAAATGTGCTTCTTCTCTGGGTTGGTCGGATACCGTAGTTAAGTTCAGCGTGTGTTCCTTTGCGATTTAATAGAACTCAAAATGGAAGAGAAAGACATATCTAAACACTGACGCAATCAAAACAACACAACAAACTGCGTTGGACCACAGCCAATCGACAATTAAACTGACCGGGGTTTCCATTGCGACGGCGCTTTTAATTGATTCCTTCTCTAATTAACATGCTTTAAGGACAGCTGGGCCACGCTGCATTGTGTTAAACATCCCCACAACATCGTAGTTATTAGCTTAATACCCAACTGGTTATCTAGCGTGGTGATGGTTCAGTACGTTCTGCTGCTCAGCAGAGCATTTGCTTGCAAACTCTTGGAGTGTGCTCTGAATTCATTTAGTTGCTTTACAATAAAAAGGTTAATTGTGTTATCATTGTTGCCGTCTGGAACCGAGGAAGGTTGCCTCTCTCTTATTTGCTGTCTGTCTTTCACAACCACTTATCATGCCCTTGCAGGCTTGTGCAGAAATATTTAGACTGATGCAGGGGAGGGTTTAAGTCTAATGAGAAGTATTGTACATATTGCTTGGAATAGTTGTATACAGCTGAGGTATGAAATGAACATTTTCAGTGTGTCTCTGATGAACTATGAGACTCTCCTTTTTCAGAATATCACATCTCCTAACAGGCAGAACCAGTACAGCGCACACAAAGAGTCTGTCAGCAGGTTGTAATGTGAGCCAGCTCATAACCATAAAGTACACAACTCTAACCAGCGTGCGATATTGTTCACATTTTTTTTTTCTAAGTGATCTCTTTGTACCTTGCTGTCCGTCTGCGAAAACCGAGACATCCCGCTATTGTTAACGGCTTTCATTTTTGCTCTGACTGTAAGCGATCTGTTTTACCTGCTTGTACTTAAGGGCCCACTCGAGTTTCACGAAGCCCGGCGTGGTTGTAGAGTTGCACTGGAGCGCTCGTTTTACTCGCTCAGGCTGGAGTGAATAGATGTGATTTCACATTGGATATAATGGGTGACATGACAGATGTAATAAGCTACAGTGTCAAAAGTACCCGCTTGTGTCAGGATCATTTTAAGTTTCCTCATCTACTCTTCCTTTCAGACTGCTGTAATCACTGCTCTGGTAAGACAAACAGAAAGAATACTAATATGTTCATAACTGCTCCTTCACTGGCTCTGACACTAGTTGAGCTGCAAACAATCCGACATTTTTGACATCGACGTTAGCGAAGTCCTTTGTGGGTCCCTCATTATTTGTCCCAATTTTTCTACTTGTCACTTTAAGGCCTTAACTATCTGGGTATCTACTTTACATAAATATATATAACCTCTTGTGTGAGGAAGGTCTTGTCTGAAATATCTCATCTGCCACTGAATGAATTGTCATGACCTTTTTTATAAATATTCTGGATTCCCAGGAGATAGATTTTTAATATTTCACTCTTCCCCTGACTTTTCCTCTTGCATGACCAGAGGGTTGATATTTTTGGTTTTGTGTGAAATGTCTGTCAGATGGATCTCCGTGACATTTGGTACAGATAGTTGAGGTTTCAAGACAATGTATCCGACTGACTTCTGTGCCTGTTGTGTGACTTTTTCATGCAGGGCTGTTATTGAGTCAAAATTCAAATTTGTTCAGTCTTTCGGTTTACGACCAAATACCTGCAAGAACATTCCCATGAATCTTAACTGCACTCTGTGTTTATACTGATAATTTGCAAGCATTTGCATGCTAAGGCACTAAACTAGGTAAACATTATACCTCCTGTGCATCAGCATGTTAAAACTGTGCCGTGCATAAGTAACGCCTCATCGAGCTGCTAACGCGGCTGCAGATTCTTAGTCTTCGTTCGGAGTTGTACTTTGCATTATAATCGCTGTGCTCGTCTGTTTCCATGAAATGTTTCTTTTGGCACATTGAAGGTGTAAGAGACAAGCAGTTGAAAGTCTCCTTTGCTGTCAGGTGTGAGAATGAGTCAATGGTGAGGTGTCAGTGGCAAGGATATTTGTCATCCCTCAACACCTGAAGTCCCACCCCCATTCCTCCTATTCACCTCTCAACATGTCTTCACTGGTTGTTCCCTCCACATGAAGGTCAGCTGTGTCCCAGGATTGATCTTGTCAGTTTTCTCATGAATGTTTAATCGTGTGTTTGCGCGTGTATGCACATGTAACCTAAGGGTAGCGACAACGGGCAAACGGATAGCACCGTACGTCCTGCAATCTCCGACTTTTCATGCCTCCGTCTCACCTTTGAGCTCCGTAAGATCGTTTTCTTGTTGTGTCAGGGGAGCTCCTTGTCAGGCACTGGGTGATGGAACAAAGACCACCTTGACGACGCTGGACAGCAGGAAGGGCCAGCGGGTGGTCCAATTAGTTGGCTTCATGCTAGCATGGAAGGGCATCATAAAGAGTCGTGTTTCAGGCTCCGGGCTGAAAAATTCTTCATGCAGATCTGTAGTCGTGCAGTAATGTGGCATGTTTTCTGTAAGTCAATTTAAGTGAGATGCAACAGTGAAGTGTAGGTGAAGGTTATTTTCCTCCAGTCAGTAAAGTAATCTTAAAGTTAAAGTAAGCTGTGACAGCAGATGTCTGGCAAAGGATTCTTGATCTATTTAAAATTAAAACATGTTGTACAACAGACCTGTATGAAATGAGATTGTTTTGATGCATTAGGGTACAAATTTCCCAGTGCATTATTTGATTGATTCATGTTCGACAGCGAACTAGTGCTGAAAGGAACTCGGGAGAAAATCAATAAGATGTTTGTCATTCCTGTTTTTGTGGCAATAAATCAAGAAGAGAAGCGTCAAAAAGATGACCAGTGCTGCTATGTAACACATTTCCATATCAGCTGGTATTAGAAGTTTTTTTGAGATTTTTAAATGAGCTAAACAAAAAAAAAAAAAAGAAAACACTTCTTTGGTTTCTGGAATCATTCTCATTTTTAAAAAAAATCCTCTTAAATGTGTTTGTAATTAATTGCAACACATCATCCTACCACCCAGGGCTCTCGCTATTATACACCACCCACACTGCACTTCTGTTTCCCCAGGACGCTATGTATCATCGGCTGGGCCCTGGCTGACATTTACAGGGCTTGATGTATCAGGGCAAAAGTAGTCATATGTCAACTTCAGAGCTGTTACACAGGAGACACAGGGAAGCACAGTGTTCCAACAAAACACACTGTACCGCTCGCCGATATGACACGCTGTTGTAGCATCGAAAACTCGCCGTGCAAATATACTTGTGTTATGATGTTTCCCGTTTCAGCTGCAGGAAATCAAATTTAATGTGTGACTCACACGCAGACTATTGAAAAAGTGTCGTAAATGAGACTATAAAAGGAGGCTCGATGACTACTTTTGTCTCGCTAACAGGCATTTATCTGTGTTTTTAATTTTAAATCCGTCTAATCATGGCTTCCTGAATGCATTGCCCTTCAGACATTGGTAACAGAGAATCAGTAATATTATCTTATGCACGTCCCAGTGTGTGATATGCTTCCTATTGCTGTGTTTGTGTAGGAGACCCAGGAGAAGTTTCCAAAACTGGGCCAGATGGAGGCCTGGGATGAGCTGGGCAGTGGGGAAACAGAGGAGGGCAGCACCACAGACTGTGATGATGAAGACGGTTGTCAGTCCTCAGGAGACGGTCAGGAAAAGAACTGTAAGTGACACATGCCCACTTTGACTTGCATAAACTCTTACATATACCCACATCCTCATTCCTCTACTGCTTTTCCCTTTGCCAACTGGCACATCAAACCCTCACGCCTTTCATCATTGTCATTCCAAATTATATGCATGTCTACCGATATAATGATTTACAATATCACCGTTTTTAATTGTGCTCTACTTCCACGTAGCTTATTTTGTGCAGTATGTAACCAAGGACAGATCTGCCTCTGACAAGGCCTTATCCCCTCTCTCTCTCTCTCTCTGTCTCTCTCTCCATCCTCTCTAATCCCACAAGCCTCGAATTGTTTTACTGCCACAAAGTCACTCACATTTTCACACTCTGCCAAGGTTCCAGCAAAGGTGGTTCTTTAGATGTCGAGACAACAAGCTAGTTTACTTCAATGGGCACACACTCACATATGAGGTGTCAGAGAGGAGGTGTTGGGGCTTGTGTCGGCTTTGATGATAATCATTTGATCTCCTCCAGACGTTTTACATTCATCATCCCTAATTACCATGTTGGGATTTTTCCACCTACACAGTAAAACAAGGGAATCTGGTGTAAACCTTTGTCTTCCTGGCGTGCAGGGAGCAGCAAAGAACAAGGAAGAGCACAAATACAATGAGCTACACACTCAGTATCAGCCGACGACAGGTTAGGTATAAAGGTTCGGATTTTTATTATTTTTTTTCTTCACGTGGCTGGTAAATGGGCCATCTGGAGATACTATATGCTGTAGAAGCAAGCAGACAGGCAATACAAAGAGGGAAAGGCCCAGTGATAAGATCCCAGCTGAGTAAGCTGAGCCTCTTTGGCTTCCCCGAGAGCAAGACTGCCGAAATGCCAGCTGCTGAATCAGCATTCTCCTCGTATGTAACATGTACCATGTTTGCTCTGTCCAACACAAATGCACACAAGCACACTTTGTACAGTGTGGACTAGCCATATACATTAACCTTGTGATGAGCACACAATTAAATGCAGCAGACAGTGGAGTATACTGCTGGCCTAGATGTTTACAATTCTGGCCATGTAATCACATTGTCCCCATTTTGAATTCAGCCAGAGACTTTTTGCTGCTTGTCATCCTGCCTCTGTTTCCCTTCAATGCAGGTCACCGCTCTGCTTTCCGCGATCAAAATAAGGCCAAACTCCCCCCCCAAAAAATATCCTTTAAAATGATTGTTAAAATGTAGTCCTGTCACATAGCTTTTATCTCTTTGAATTGCTGGTGTCACAGCATCATCATTGTTGCCAGATTATTGAATCAACATGTCAATAATCTGACGACTGAAGACGAAGAACTGAAGAATACAGAAACCCTGTTAAACCACAACTGCAGCTATTTTTCATACGGACTCCTTTAGCCTTCTGCTTTTGTTTTTTTGTTTTTTTTTCTCACTGCAAAGTATTATTAACAGCAAGTTGTCGCTCCCCAGTCTTCATTTTGTTTACATCTGCTTCCCCGTGAGATCACGTAAGGTGGTGCTCTGCTTCCTGACCGCTCCCTCTGGCAGGATAATCTTGATAATATCCTGTGGTGTGTGATGCGCCATTACTTTCAAACGCTGTAGTGCGTGCATATCTAAGATTAGAGAGCAGAATATCTGTGAAGTGTCTCCTTATGTGTGTGATGCAACACGATTTCAACATCTGTTAGAATTTTTTGAAGCCCCCGTCGTGTGAGCTCAGTATTTTTCACTAAATGCAAACGCTGTCAAGGTACCTGCATGCACATTCACAACATATTTAACTTTTGCCACCGTGAGCTCAACGCTGATATCACTTTTTGGCTGATACGTTTTTCCTCCATAAGATGATGAGCTCCACGGACTGCACTGGACAGCAAAGACACAAACATGAAGCAGAGCATATCTCATCAGTGTTCCCTCCAACCATAATGACAATTTTGATAATCAAAACCTCCTTTAACTTCGGCACCATGCACTGTACTGCACTGAGTCCTTTCAGCTGTATAGATCCTGAAAGGAACTCAACTGTAACAGTCAATGCAAAAATAATTTAGAACAAAACACCTAAAGTTTTGTTATGAGGCCATTACAATATAGAAATGTGCAACATAATACTCACCAGACATAGGGGCACTAAGTCAGCATATAAAAGCAGCCAGTGGGATGCTTTAAGGTGCTATCTTAAAACTACTAGTTTAACAAAAGAGTAGCAAGAAGGTAATAAACACAATACGGTTACCACACCAATCAATAACTATTACATTCTCAGTTACACACAGGTCTGGACGGGCCCTTTCAGCCCTGTTCCTTGTTGCGATGTGGATAAAAAATGCCAGCTTTTGTCGGAGCTCTGACAGCAGCACCGGTATCCCAACAGCAGGGGATAATCAATCAACACCGTTGTCTGAGATTTGCTGAACAAACCCCATTAGTCTGTGCTCAAAGTATAAATCCATATCCTGGTGGGCTCCGCTGCCTGTTCTGCTGTCTTTCAGCATTTAAAAGAATTTTTGTCATATGGTTACAAAATCACGCCTTTTGATTGGTCTATTGATATATATTAAGACAAATTACAGCATTGGCCCTTTTATAACTGGCCCTGTCACAAGGCCACTCTGACTATTATATACAGTCTGAGTTGCTTCTCTGAAGACTGATGTCAAGAGATGGCGCATTTCTTCAGTGACACATGGACAGGCCGTTTTTGGTACAGCATTGATTCATATCCACCAGGACTGGCTTTGAGCTCAGTTCTGGGTATGTTCAACTATTTGGCAATTTCAAAAGCTTTCAGGTGGATAATGACGAAGGTAATGGGCATTCTTTAGTACCATTTTTCAGTCGCATGCTGTATTCACACACTGCCCTTTCGAACTAAACAATTTGAGGTGTCAATTTTTCTCAGACTGTTACTATTTTGTAAGACCCAAAAGTAACGTAGGGCTCACCGTCTGACATCTAATGACATTACATTTCTTCGCCTCTTGATGTTTGATGACGTCTGCCTCACTGGTCATTGGCAAATCATGGGATAGGATTGGGATTTACATGTGCTAAAGGGAAAACCAGCTCCAGCAACGTGTCTTTTGACTTTACTTGAACCATCATTGATTATTCAAACATCAACTTTGGCAGTTCTTGGGACTTCTTAGCTGGGTGAGGTTGTAATACACTGCTGGGCCTGTTTTACTTTTTCATCTGTCTGTGCATTTGTTTGCCTCTATGTAACTGTGGCAGAGCTCCCAAGGTCCATGTTAAAAGGGGGCATGACCGCCCACTGTTCTGCTAAGAGAGACTTCATTACCAAGCTAATGAACAGCGCTAATCTGCAGAGAACAGACTCACTGTCTCTATCATCATTCAGATGTGATGGAACTGCTGCAAGTCTTGCTGAGCAGATAGGATTCATTCGTGCCGCCTCCTGCATACTGAGCACACAGTATGTTTAAGAATGCAGATGGAGATGTGTCTACATACATACTTAAAATCTATAATTGTGAAAACCAAAGGATTGTTCGAGGGAAAGCACATGAAAGTGAGCTGTGAGTGTTTAGCACAATGTTACTAATTTACACTGCCCTGCTAAATAAAGGATTACAAATATGCAAAATGAAACTACAGGCAAGATTTTTTTGGGAAAAGTCACATTCTCTTTGCATACTCTGCTGGGCTCCCCATTACTTAAAGAAAGCACAGTCTGATTGCATGATGTAATGCCCGCTTGATCTTGGTTCAGATCCTGTTCCTCTTGCCTGGAGACATACTACTATGTGTGCCAGCTAAACAAGGCCTGGTCATGTACGAACTGCCATTGCCACAGCCATGAACAGGAGAATAAATCAGTGAATCTTTAATGAACCATATTATCTGTCTTCCCTGCAGCTATGAGAGCCTCTTCTGTGGTACATTTTGTGGCGTGACTATGGCTTATTAACTGTATTAGCCCGGGAACGCTTACACTGCTCCTTCCAAAGAAGCTATTCATTTGTAGATTGTTCATTAACGTATTATGCTCTAAAATACCCACAGTGGCACATTAGACCACTGTCTATCCATTATCAGAAGAGGGGGGAGACTCCAAAAATCTGCGCATCAAAAGGTAGAACAGTACTTTATTTGTCTGTCTGCTTCAATGAGTCTGAGTCTGAGTCACTGGCAGAGTAGGCACAGTTTGTTCTTATCTGGTTTTCGGTGCAGATTCGCAAAAAAAAAAAAAACAAGGAGGCAAATCAGAGTAATAGAAATTGGAGATATAGAAGAATGTAGAGGTTTGCGTGTAGTTTTCATAAAATCTTAAAAGTTTGGAATGGAACTTGGTGGAAAACAATAAATAATGTTCCCACCGGTACAACGTTTGCATTCGAATATAAAAGCTGTTATAGCGTTTAAGCTGCTGTTGAGGCAGTCAGTCTGGTAAGGGTGTGAGAAGTCATAAAAACAAAACAAAAAAAAAAATAAACGAGGGGGGAAGCAGGTTATCCATCTCAGAGGAGAAGAAGTAAATGCATGGATAAACATTTCCTGTGATTGAGCCGCGGGGATGTGCAGCGAAAAACTGTGAATCGTACAGCCATGAAAGTACAATTCTCCTTTGGTAACAAACACCATCTGTCAGGAACACTGGTGAGCTTATGAAGAAAGCGAAGACACCCCTCTGCTTTTTTTCACACTCTCCATAGTTCAGTGGTTAAGCCTGTCTAACATGAAGCCACTGGCAATGATTGTTTTGTTTTGCCATCCTGTCGAAGAACATAATTATCTAAATATGACAAGATTGAAAGATTCAGAAGTAGATTATTGTGCGTCTCGTCTCTCCTCGCATACCCCTCAAAGAAGTAGAAACAGCTGGCTGTGTGTTCCGTGTTGGTGTGTGAGAGTGCAAACTTGATCCCGAGGGATGTGAAATCTGAATGCTATTTCAAATCTAGACCTGCTAGTTTGGGATTTTTTTTTTTTTTTTCCCCCCTTGCAAATTGTGGATTTTGCGTTACATTTAATAACACCTCACACACACAC